AACCATTTCGGAGGCAGTAGAGCATTTACGTAACGTCATATTTGATATTTCAATTAGCAAAAATACGACGTTCCTTTTTACACGATCGTGGCTGTAATGAGAAGAAAAAAGGCCTGATAGTTTTATTTAGGGCATTATAGTTAAGTTTCCCTGCATGCTATTTACGTGCGATGGAAATTATTGTATGTTTCACAGGCGGTGCAAGATTTGGAACCTCGATTCCGAAAACCCTCAGTCTTCGAGTTCGGGTTTCTAATAGAGCCCTTAATACACAATGTAGATGCTATTTCATTCCAGTAGGGAGTGCCATAGACAATAGAATTTTGATTAAAAACTAAAAAGAGCATCTTTGTGATATGGTTTATGAAATTATAAATGACAGATTTACTAAAGGAGAAGAAAAAATAAATAACACATGCGCAATTACAGTCACAAACACCACCACAAAAATTATACCCGAGACCTATTTCACCTCTCCACGAAGAACGAATTATTTCTTCAATATTTAGACTTTAAAAGAAGTACAAGTCGTTCACACCATTTTAGTTCACGGTTTTCATACCAATAGATCCAAACAATTTCACGCACAATATTACATAACCGAATCCAACCTCACCGCCCACTGCATTCTAATGCAAAACAAATCGAGCATTACCAATTCAGGTCTTTGTAAACACTAATTCCTTGGAGCTTAATAGAGATTACATAATGACATTACTTAGACCCGTATTAACAAATACGTCTCAAGTTCAGTATCGATATTAAGATGTTGCTTAAGTCTCTATTAATTAATATCAATTTATTGCACATTAATCTTGATTTATCGATTTTGCATCGTAATACGTCACAAGTTTTAGCATGTGAAAGCCATAAAAATAATTCCATCTACATTAACAATTTACTATAGATTTCTCACAGATGGCGCTACGGCCAAAAGTCGTTAAAAACTTTAAAATAATTGTAAGATCTGTTGGTTCGGGGCTCAGTTAAGAGAGCATAAGACACAGTATGCTGAAGGCGCTGGCTCGAATCCAGCCGGATGGATAGAATTTTTCTTAGTGTTCGATTTTTTGAGAAATTACTCCAGGTTTAAGGGATGGTAGCTGTAAAGGTACCTAACTGGATGACGAAATACTTTCATAGATTTCTCATAGATGGCTCTACAGCTAAAACGTCGTTGAAAACCAAATACAAAGATCCGACAATAAGTACATGAAAAAATTCGCGAGGTCCGCTGGTTCATTCCGTGGCTTAGTTGACATAGCGTCTGGCACGGTTTACTAGGAGACGTCGGTTCGAATCCAACAGGATCCAAGGGTTTTTTCTAAGTGATCGATCTTTGTACTAATAATTATTATCATAATAGTACATCGTGATGTTCAATAATCTTAATATTACATGAAACAAATTATGTGTTTGTGAAATTTTATTAACTCTCCTATTTAACGATTAATTTCATTTGTAGAATCTTAAATCTGAAATGTTATCATTTTGCTTATCACCTTACAGGCGTGCTACGTGAGCTTGTCCAAGTTTCTGTATATTTATACACGTTCATCGATCATTGTTGAGATGGTAATATCAACCTAAATTATATTCAATATGTACAACTTGAAGCTATTACACTTGTGATAGATGCAGAAACATTTTTTCCGTGGTCTGGAAAGAACGCGCCAGTCAATTGTTATTCACGTATTAGCATCGACACGTAGGGTAACGTTAGTTGCTTAACTCGAAACTTGCATTGCGTAACGCTCTTGAAAATATTTTAGGCATTTATTTTAAATAGTTTGCATTGTTATGCTTTTAAGAATGAAGGCACGTTATTTTCAGTATGTAAGGAGCATAGCCACCTCCGACTGTTTTTTGTTTTTTGTACATAGGTAAAACTAATTTACACTTGAAAACATTTAAAAAAACGAGCAATAAACTCTAGGGAATGCTCTTTTCAAATAAACCAAAATGCCGTGGAATACACAATCAAATTTGTGTGGAATCTAGAGCCATGTCGTCTTTTTAGTAGCTAAATAAATAACATTTGTAAACAATGGCCTAGTCATGACGAATCTGACATATACATAGAGCGATGGTAGCCCAGCGGGAGAACGGTTACTTCACGTTTGAGAGGCCGATGGTTCGAATCCTTGTGTCGGCATGTACCTTGCTTTAATTTCTAAGTTAACATTAGTAAATATTACAGGTTACTTGCACGTTTGTAAATATTTTGTTGCAATACTGTCGTTCGTTAACTAAAACGTGGCTATGTGAGAAAATTACTTTTTAGGAACCATGGTATTTTATTTGGTTATATGGTATGGTTTTTTTAGAATATTTAATGATATTTTACCTATGCACCATTAGGATAAGTTCCGAAACATCGAACACGTAAACTAACCGTAAGTGTTGTTAAATAGAGAATTTTGAGCCCTATCTTATGCAAATAAAAACGGATATTTGACACTTGTCACTTAATCGCGTTTTAATAAGTGGAGGACAGAATACCTTTCGCTAATGGTGAATAAAATAATAATTATGGAACCTGTACGTCAAAGATACTAGAAAAGTGTGCGATATTCCAACCGCCCACTGTGATCAAAACCTTCTCGTGGGCCTAAATCTTCCGCGATGACCACATTGGTATTGGTAGAGATGATTGCATCTCCAAGGGTCAAAGTTAAAAAATAAGAGCCCATTTAACCTCCATCTCACCTGATGGAAAGTGACGATGAGGTCAACAATGGAACACGCATACCTTAATAATAATGCCTATTCACTCTCGCCTTGAAAAACCCCAAGTAGCAGTAGAGCTGCTTGTGAAAGAGTTGGGCCAGGGAAATAACCTTATCTATTTCTGCCGCCAAGCAGTAATGTAAGCATTACTGTGTTCCGGTTTTGAAGGGTAAAAGGTGTTGGTGAAATTACAGACACATGACACTTGTCAACTTATGTCTCAGGGTATCGGGCGCAGTGGCAGTGCCCCTCAGATCTTTGCGATTTAAAGCTCTGAGTGGCACTGCAACTGTCATGGACAGCTTACCACCAGGCGCACGACTTGTTCGTCCCGTCACAACATAGGGGTGGAACCCTAGTCTACTTCATCACAACCAGATGATAATTTATGTAGTAATTTAATGTCACCGATATTACTTCATTTATTAATCGGGACTCACGCAACACGTTGCACAGGAATGCAAATCACGGGCAGGTAGCGTGGGCGTGGCACATTGTGCAAGACTTTAGTTAGGTAGTCTAGGTAGCCTACAGGTAACCTAGCTTGGTTTATGTATAACTAGATCAGCAGGAAGAAAATTACTGGTTACACCTAAGCTCGCGGTAATAACGTGATATTGGTAACGAATATAACATTTTTGTGGTTGAGTCATGGTTTAATTTTCATTTTACACTAAACTATATTTGTTATAGTTATTACTGAAAATCAAATTTTTTTGTGGCTGATTGCATTTTCAAATTTAAATTATAAAATTCATAAACACTATATATATGTGTTTTAAATGAATATCTTTTTCGTTGTTATCGTCCAAAAATGGCTAGTGCAAAAACCATAGAGCCACGTCCTCAGTAGATATATGAAATCAATTTAATGGGTAACGAAATCAAACAGTCAGTTAGTTAATGTCGACTAAACATCATTGCGTCAGATGATTTACCCAATTGAGACATAATATAGACATGACGAAAAACAATTCTTTCTAAAGTTCATAAATATAGTCTGTTGGCCGGATATAAGTCATTTTCTTTATTGTGTCTAGCACTTTGCGGTGTACGAACGAACGAGTATGTTTATGCCACTGAAAATCGATGTGGTTATATGTTGAAATCACTTATAGATGTACAATCTTTTTTTTAATGAAAGACTGGCTACGATCTAAGGTATAAGGAAGTAATTAGCAATTATTTACTTTACAGTTTGAATAACAATATTTTTAACGGCTGAAGTCGGTTAAAAACAGAGGAGGAGGTTTTCAATTCGACTGTGTTTTTTTATTACACCTCTGTGGGTGGCAAATTAAGGGGTTAAAAAGGGGGGGGGGGGGGGATTGGGTTTTACCCCCTTTCCTTATTCAATTTTCAACAAAAGTTGGCAAAAAGAATTAATTACTCAAATTTTTGAGGTAATTTTTTTATCATAATTCATCTACGTTGTATAACTTATTATAGGAATATTGCATGTAATAACTACTCACAGTAAAGTGTGAGAAATATGATATAGTCGTGTGAAATGAGCTTGCGAAACGAACTTTGAGAAGCAAGAAATGGTTTCTTGATAGATTGCCTCGATAAAACTATGCCGTAGTGTCGTATTAATTTCCATTTGTATCACTACATATGCCAAGTACGGGTCATCCCCAAGAAAGCACTATCCGCGGGTGTATAGATACGAAATGAATGTTGTGTGAAGTTTTATGCGTTAGGATACACAAAAAATGTATATATGTATATAAATGTATATATTTATAAAAATACATGATAGATGGTCAATTAGTCATGACTACGGTACCAGTAAACGTTAGTTTGTTTGAAAAAATAGACAGTCGCGACTTAATACAAAAAAATTACTCAATTTGTAATAATTAAGTGTTCTAGCCTAGGACTTAACTGTTATTAAGTAAGAATAAGGAGCAATGTTTAATACACTTTAGAAAAAATATAATATATAGCTGTATATATAAATCGTCAATGTTGTAAATGCAAGTATAAAACAAACACAAGTACAAAAACATTCATTTGACTGTCCAAAACAAAAACATTGTGATACTTAGATAGCCACACCAAAGTACGCCTGTGTTGTGGTTATCAGTACAGAATCCTAAGTGTCTCCAGCATCGTATTAATATTACAACAATAACTACTGTTTTTTATATGTATTATATGAATTCTAACTCCACAAGTCGTAAAATGTATTTACACAACGATTTCAAATTTTATTACACCGTTAAAAGCTAGACATATTAATATTAATTCATTTTTATAAAACTGACCTTCAAAATAAACATGGCGTCGATTTGAAACTGCAACGTCACTGTCAAACTTTCCCGCGTTTTCACACAGCAATGGCGGGCACACGTCTGCGCGGTGCGGCGCAACCACCTGTATTTATAAAGTCGCCATTTCGTAGTTCGACACTTAAATAATCCAATATTGTATGCGCCGCGAGCCCTAGCCTTAGGTTTTGTAATGAGATCCCTATGAACTACATCCGTGTAACGTGTTCGTTAAGTAATTAGGGAGTTGGTCATATTTCACCTTCAATAATAAAGCGACAAAGTTCGGTTAGTAATATTTTTTGAAAGCTCACAAAATAAATAGATAAAAAATAATATACGTAGTAAAAATTATGTAGTTTTTCATATCACATAATCTCATTCGTATATATTTATTTTTGCAAACTAACCAACGTTCCGGGCCCTTTGCTACTAACTAACACTATGGGTCCAAGTGACTTGAATTAAATGAATCATTATTATGATTATTATTATTGCTTACAGATCCCATGGCCACGGCTGACTAAGATGGTAAAATCATCAACCAGTTATGTCTAATAGTTACAAAAGTTATTAATTAAATATCATATCAGTTTTAAATTTTCCAAAGAAACATTCCAATTTACGCAACATAAGTTTTAGAAATTATTTTGTTTTAATTGCAAATTTTTACTACATTAAATTTTATTGTTAATTAATGAAGGTAATTAGAATAAATTAAAACATGTTAATTAGTACTGCAGACTTATAGACACAATTTGCTTGGGATTTTTCATCACAGGAAATACTGGACCTCAAACTGGTGGTACGGATCACGGGGCCTGTAATGGCACGAAACGTTGTTTTGTTTGAAAGAACAAATATACGAGATTTAAATCCAAAACAGTAGTTTCATTTCCTAGTTTTTTTTTTTAGTTCACATTATTTTTTACATTAATTTTTAACACGAATTACGCCGTTTTATTATTATTGATGTGATATTAATTCAAGTCGGGCCTGCTTGTTCTAACGATTTATTGTTTAAGTTTTATAGTAGAGTGGTGCGAAATATTTTAAATTATATAAAGCCGTGATAGCCTAACGATTTAACCTACCGCCTCTCAAGCAAGACGGTCGTGGGTTTGAATTTAATTTGAAATTTACCATGAGCTTTTCCGTAAAGGGTAACATCGCGACAAAACCTGCACGTCGAAGAAGGTTCACAAACTCGCACTGAGCCAGCGTGGCTGACTATGCCCTAAACCCTCGCACTAAGAGGAGACCCGTGCCCTGCAGTGGGACGTACATATGCACCAAGTTTCTTATGTCTTTCGGGACTGTGTAAATCAAATATGTACGCCACGTAAACAACAATTATAATTACTAATAATTATTTACCAATATCACTATCAAATTGCACCTTTGGTGTAACAACTTTTCAGGAAAGAGGTATAGAGAAAGGTCTATGAACAAAATTCGTTGATAACTGTTTTAAGCTTAAACAGGAAAGTTACAATATTTCACATATACATAATTTGTTTCATGTAGTTCGTATCATTTTATGAGTTTCATGTAATACAAGCACTTTTGACGTATGACCATAAAATAGAGAGCTTTATTGGACTAAAGGTACATAATTATATTTTCATCACACTTGCTCGTAAATATGTAGTATGATTGCTAGGTGGCTGACTTGACTATAATGCCCCAAATAAAACCCACGGGCCTCTTTTCTTTTCATTAAGCCCTGTTCGGTATGGAGTTTTTTTTTAATTTGTAGCACGACATATACTTCCTTACATAGGTCAGGTTCAAGTTCAAGTAAATAGAAATTTAGAAACTTATTATTAAGAATGTCTTATAACTGTTTATCTAATATTTAGCTAATACTTTTTTTATATTTCACCATGGCAGTATGCTTATCTGCTTTTTACAACATTTAGTTCGTGTTGTATTATCTATGGAAGAATTAAAAAAAAAACAAATAACTCGCCATATGGCAAATCCTTATTTGTTATGTTGTGAACCATATTTATATTGTGTTTATTTTCTCGCAAATATGATGAAAAACATTGTATGTATCACGGTCGGTAAAAAATACAAAACTTATTATTAAAGATAATAGACCCTCGTTAGTAATTTCTTATTCACCGTCCATAATACACAATGTATTAATAAGAATAAATGCAAAAGAATCAGTAGCCTAGTTTAATTTCACAAAAATCTTGCAATAAAAATAAAACTGTCGAATTCGTTTTAGTACAATAAAATAATTAATTTTAGCGTTCGCAAGCCATAAACAATTGTAAAGGCTAATTATCACAAGCTTAGCTATTGTCAAACAACATTCAATGGTGTATTGTGTAAATAACGTTTACATAACTATCTTGATAATACTGTGTGTGCATTTTGGTGTTTCTAACTACATATCGCACACTCAATTATTAAAATGACCTAATGCGAAAAGTATTTTTTTAAAGTAACAATGCGAAATAAAACTAACATTATCGTTGTTCATTTCAAATAGAATTTTATCTTACTTAGTACCACGAATCCATTACATGAGGGCAGCACAAGTTCAAAAGATGAAAGACCAAAAATGTAATTTTCTAATCTATTTTGTCCATCTATTTTTCAAAGCACATGTTAGTCGTAACTAACATAAAAAATTCAAATGATTTTATCAAGGCCATTATCATATTGTTAGATGAATATGTATGGAAAGACAACATTGGATCCACACAATAAAATTATGATTCAAAATGTATTCCATAGCTTTTAAGTTTATTTGAAAAGAGCAACCCCTAGAGTTTCTTGCTCGTTCTTTTCAGGGAAGTCAGCAAAGTGAACGAGCACAGCTTAAAAAATGACGTTTTCATCTCACGTTTTTTGTTTGGTTGGAAAAATTCGAATTTGACGACGGACTGTGGTGCACCTAACTTTTTCTGTCGATAAAAAAAAAGATAATGACACGTTCAACTACGCGATTTGTCGGTCGTACGTTACTTATTTGTGTAACATAACGACTCTTCCGAAGAACAGAGTCTGATGTGATTATACAGCTAAACGAGGATAAATACATAATTTCGATATTGAAACTAAGGCCAATCTATAGGTGTTTTTAGAATTTTTATATGTTATTTCGAAAATATAAAATTTAACAAAGGTCGATCTGATACGCACAGCGAAGAACAGCGATAGAAATTTGCAGTGTTCTGAGATTAAGCAGTCTTGCACATAGGTCTTTCTTCTACGGATGAGTAGATAAATCCGCTGGTATATAATTTCATTCTTATTATGGTTGACATTAAATTGACAATGATAACTAATTGTGTCAATAAAATTATTTCGATTCGTCGAAGAACTAAAATAATTTCAATAATCACTTAATCACACAAAATTATAAGTACAAGCAAGAATAAAAATTGATGAAGTGCAAATTCAGAACGCATCTGAAAAATTTTTTGTTGTTATAAAAAAAAAACTGACATTTTATATTTCAACTGTTTTTCTTTCATCTACCATTTTCCTCACCGTTAACTAGAGGTGTTGCTACTAAATATTCCCAACTCAAATTAAAATCATCTGTATTTCGCAGATAAACAAATTACACTTTAAATCGTCATATTGATTAAACTCTACCCCTCATTCGTAAGGCAGATTCCCCTGAGAAGAATGAACAAGAAATTCTAGGGGTTGGACTTTTTAACCTGTATATTAATCGACTGATTGAGGAACTTAGTGGCATGCATGTCGAATGCCATATTGACGGAACCTGCGATAACAACATAAGCTATGCTGATGACATGGTGCTGCTGGGTCTTTCTTTTTGGCCCTATTGTAAAGTTGGTGGACACGTAAAAGGTTTGCAGCAGCGCACGGCCTAAAGTACGACGCTAAAAAGAGTGAGTCGAAAAAATGTAACCTGTGATAAATGTGCCTCCGGTTGTGTTGGGTGGTATTGCGTTGCGAGTAGTTGACAGGCGTAGATACCTTGATCACATGATCACAGATGATCCAAAGGATGATCTGGATGTGGAAAGAGAGCGCAAGACGTCAGCAGTGAGGTTCAATATGCTGACTCGCAGATTTGCTCGATGCACAGAAAGTGTAAAAATAACAATATTTAGTCTGTGGTGTCAGTACACCAAACGAGCTTACAACGCCCTGCTTATACAGTATAACAATGCGTTCAGGATGCTGTTGCGGCTACCACGCCACTGTAGCCCGTCAGGAGTGTTTGTGGAGGCGCGCTCTGATGGCTTTCCCGCTATAATGCGAAAGAAGGCTGCTTCTTTTCTTCACCGTGTGTGTGCTAGCTGGAACAGCATACTGTTAACACTCATGAACCGGTTCGATAGTCCCTTGACGCCATAGATTTAATACGAAGAGTCATAGGTGTAATTTATGTTACGTAATTGCATATTATGTGATGTAATTCAAATGTAATTTAAATAAGTACCTACTAACATACTTGCTAAGTCTTGCTAACAAATTATGGAAACTTTTTCTTAAATAGAGTATTATAATTATTATTATTTGTAAAATATACATTTACAACATTTATTACAAACATCATAGACCGAGACTACCTGCAATAATTAAACAAATCACTGCCACGGATTTTTGTCATCCAAAGTACCCAGAAACTGTATAACCTTTGTATAGTTTCACTATAGTTTTAAACCTCGTGAATGCCAAATTTTGAATATCAACCGGAATCTTATTATAGAAACTTATGTATTGCCCCTAAATGAATATGGAACTTTGTGAAGACGACTATCAAGAACAGCTAGTTTATTTTGATTCCTCGTATTAATGTTATGTCAGTCACTATATTTCATAAAAAAATACTATTCCTAACATAAATTACATTTTCATAAATGTACTGTGACGCTACTGGTGTAAGAATGTTAATCACTTTAAACTTATCTCTCAAAGATAAGGAGGTTATGTATACGAGTCGTTCTTGAAAGCCTGCAAGTCGTTAAAACAATTTCGTAAGGCATGCAAACGTAAATAAACGTAGAAAACCTGCTTCTCGTGCGAGTATGAAGCCGTATGCGGACCGGTATGGACTGCGTGGTTTAGATGAATCCGCAAGGCCAAGTGCG